TCTATTCCTCTAACGAACACCCACTTCGGTGGTGGTGCGGGATGTCCAGGTGTTTCTGAAACTCTATCGGCTTGCTTTTCGTTATCTCTGCATGCCTGCGACTTCAGTTCCTGCCGAGAGCGTTTTTTCAAGTGCAGGAATTTTATTGTTAATCGCCTCAGGTCCCGTCTTTCACCAGACCACGTTGATAATTTCACTGAACAAATAACGCATGGTCTGAGTAAGTAAAATGGGCATTGTTGCATTTTGTTTTTAGACAATATAGCCTACACGAAGTACGGTTTTAAAAGCCGTTTTAATGCTATCTCTTGATAAACCTTTCTATTGTTTTTGACTTGTTTTAATATGTTGGCTAACGTTATATAGCTATGAAGATTAAGAATTATGTCAGGCTATTGATTGAGTTTCCATTGTTCTGCATTTCCCCAGCTGATTTGAATAAATAAGCTATGCTTTGGCCGACGGTGAGTGTATACTCTTTTTTTTTTTCTTTTTAACTACCGCCTAAAATGAAATGATAACGCGAGGCAAGTGTGCGGCAAGCGGAATTCATTGAGGGATTTGACAGTGTGATTCATAGATTAAGTATTTCAAATTTAGGCTATTATGCTACTCGCACGCACAGAGTTTTTTTTTTCTTACCATCTTTTGGGGGTTTCTTGCTTTTAGACTAGTCGACTAGTCGGATACAAAACTTTCGTTTAAACGACAGTCAAATTAGTCGTCGCGCACATCCCTAAGTGTAACCTTTTTTGGAAACAAACTGTGTCCAAATGTGTGATTTCAAAAATAAGCAGAAACATACAACAGGAATGTATTTGAATATTTAAAGCAATCATGTCAGGCCAATTACTTGAGGTGAGTGATGTGTGGACAATCCTTTAAAGCCCTGGCAAGTTTAGCAGCTCCAACATCAGTGAGACCACCACTGATAAAACTGTAATCAGAGATAAACATAAACCAGTGCAAAACACACTGCAAGGCAATACTGTGACAAATCGCATAAAGGACACAACAGATATTTTGTTGGATATAAGACTTACTCTAATTTCTGCAAAGCCTGGAGTTTACACAGGATACCACACAAAGCCTCTGCAAACTTGTCATCATATTTCCGGCTACGGAAACTTAAATAAATAATATATTTAACAAATTGAGTACATCAACATGATCAGATTAAAGACTACAAAATCATGTATTACTGTTACAACTCCGGCAGAAACCCACAAGCTGATAAATATTTTGATGTTATGAAAAATGGTCGATATTAAAAGTCTATACTATTTTGTCTAAATAAATGTCAAATTAAACACTATCGCTTTAAAATGCAAGTTTAGGCAGCAGTATGAAAAATGGATATTGATTCCGAGAATTGCTAAAAATTACATTTTAAAGTGTTAAAATATTAGTGTTTTTAAACATTAACTTGCACACACATTAGAGGACGGCAAAGGTAATCAAAATGTAAAAATAGGAGAAATGAGCACACACAATTAAAAATCCAATATCAGCCCGTATGAACCAATACAGATAAATTAACATTCAGCTATCAGCTGAGAACCAATATGGTACCACTATATCAGCTGCCATATGGGCACCAATTTACTACACATCTCATGACATACATAAAGCATTTGTTCATAAAAGAGAATTTTATAGAAACTTACATGAGATGATCCACATTCTTGAAACTAGGGAGAATTTCCAAACAATCCGGATCAATTGAACAGCCACCAATGTCCAGACATACATTCTGATCAGCAGCTGCTGTCACAAATGCTAAAGAATCCATGTCAACTGCATTGAGTCTGATATTTCGCAGTTCAAACTGTGGTCTCGAACCAATAGCTCTTGCCAACTTAGCATCTTGAGTCTCATGAGCACATCGACACAGCTCCACAATTTTGGGGCCTGTTTGACTGGTACTTCCTGCAAAACCCAGCAAAACATTACGGACGGTAGCTTGCCGCTTTTGTACCCAAGCCGTAATGCCCTCGGTCCCTTTAAGTTGGACCAAACTGGACTTGCAGGCCTCTGCCGCAAGCCCACATACGTAAACATGGAGAGAGTCTGTAAAAACGGATTTTGGATCAATCTTGGTGGTCCAGCGGGTTTTCAAGTTAAGCTTCTTCTTAAGTTGACTCTCAGTGATGTTCTGACTGGTCATGAGGTGGAGAGCAGCGAGAAACTCCTGCATTGTAAGGTGCATGAACGTGAAACCATATCCTGAAGATCCATCCTCACGAGTCAGTTTCACACAAGACAGTATCCCGCTTTTAACACCAAATTCCTGGAGCTCTGGAGACGCATCTGTGTCCATGAAGACTATAGTGCTTTCCTCCAGTCCTTTGAGGGCCAACTGACTCATCTCAACAATTTTAGATCTGTATCTCTGCAGTGGAGATGTACCAGACACCACACCTCCATTGATGCGTTTGAGGAACGCCAAGAGGATCTGCATGTAGATTTGGGTTAAGGACGTTGGTAGCTGTAGATCAGTTCCATCACTGGAGAACAGATGTTCCATACATACACAGCAAATATGACAGAGTCCAGGTACGTGAGACATTGACAAGAGGTGTCGGTTGTTCGTCAACAAGTTTACAGCTTTCTTTTTGAGTTCATCTCCTTTTTTATGGAAGTATTGCTCGGCATATTCCTTCACACCCAATCGGTCAAACCCTTGTAGCTCACAGGTTATGAAGCCAGGGCTTCCAAACATGTCAGTCACATCTCGTGGTCTACAGGTGACCAACACAGTGCAATCTGGAAGGAATCTACGACTGCACAGTCCTGAGAGGAGATCTGTCAATGGAAGAGGTTTGTTTGGGTCATTGATGCTCTCCAGCTTTTCAGGATGCGTAAGCTTGGCACGAAACTCATCATACCCGTCAAATATGAAGCAGACCTTCTCAGGGTTGGAGAGGATGAATTCAAACACTGCATCACTTTGTTCCTCATCATCATCACCAGCAGGATAGAAGAGAAAGAGTAGTTCTTTCAAGGACAAATCACGTGAGATAAGATTGAGCTGCCGGAACTCCAGCAGGAACAGCAGGTGAATAGATGGGAAGGAACCTTCAGCCCAGTCACGACCGAGGCAGTGAACCAGCAGGGTCTTACCAGATCCAGCCTGGCCCAGCAGCGTGACAACCCTGCTGGTGGTTTTCAAAAGAGACTCAACAGACACTTTATGCTCTGACTCTTCTCCTTCATGGTTGTCTAGAGAGGCTTGAGGCTGGATGGTCCTGTCTTTCCCTCGTGGAGGGTTCCTGTGTCTTAAATACACCCATGTGTCTTCCAGACGGATGTCCTTTACTACAGCTTGTGCCACTGACTCATATTTTTGCAGTACCATGGATTTAAGAGCATCCATGTAGCTCTGTAAATGATCTAGGTAAGAAAGTCAACGCATTATTATTACACTCTAAAAAATCCTGGGTTATTTTTTCAACCCAAATGATGGGTTGAGCTTTTTGGGTCATTTTTTGGGATTATTTTTTCAGTGTTTGGTTAGTTTTTGTGTTACCCAGCTTATGGTTCAGACATAACAACCCCATTGTTTGGTAGTTTTGTGTTACCCAGATCCTGGGTTAGACGTAACATAACCCAGCGGTTGAGTTATTTATTGCGGCGTATTTGCATCATCTTCAGGAGAAGAGAGAGCAGCCATCAAATTGATGCATTTCTTCAGTAAAATACAAGTTTGTGTACATTTTATTGCATCTATAAAATCGTTACTTTACTGTATATCATTTAATTTTACACAAAGCAACATACACTCTAAAAAATGCTGGGTTAAATACAACCCAGTGCTGGGTAAAATAGGGACAAACCCAGCAATTGGGTTGTTTTGACCCAGCGATTGGATTACTACCCAGAAGGTTGGGTTAAACATTTAACCCAACCGCTGGGTCAAAACAGCCCAATTGCTGGGTCTGTCCCTATTTTACCCAGCACTGGGTTGTATTTAACCCAGCATTTTTTAGAGTGTACAGGAGTGTGAGTCACCTAAGTGAGTGTCGCATCTGTCTTTTCACATGATGGAAATGCCTGATGCCTTGCATAAATATATAATGCATAATATATATACTGTTTGTTTATGGGCAGGTTAGAGCCAGTCACAGCATATTTCGGCTATGAGTAAAACGTAGAGCGGCAATCTAAAGTTAGCAGTTCCCCACCGAAAATGAATCAACCCATATGCTGGGTCAAATAAACAACCCAATTTGCTGGGTAAAATTATCCCAACATGTGTTCTGTCCTATATTTACCCAGTCCTTGGGTTAAAAATAACCCAAAATGGGTTGTTTTTAACTCACTCTTTTTTAGAGTGTAGGTATCATGAATTTAAATTGTAGTTCATACAAAAGCCTTAAAAAGACTTTAGTCACATTTAAAAATCTATGAATGTTATTGTTTTAGAAATAAAATATTAAACCATGTGCCATCTGCAAACAAATACTGCTAGACATTATCTAAAAACGAATTTTCCTTTTCATATTTTGCGTTTCCATTTCCTTAACACAGCTTGAAATCTAACTGATTTCTTTGAAAAGTGTTTATGCTATATTTCTTGTGTCACTTGGTTTGATATTTTGTTATATATGGTTATATAACAAAATAAATGTTTATGATTTTGGGATGACTTAGTAATATTATGATATCAATGACAATGTAAACATTAATAACAAGGTTCAGTTTTAAAATAATCTTTTGATATGTGTACTGTTCCTGCTAGGTTTAGAAACCACTTTATGGACCAACCCTGTAGCAAATGTTTTTCTTTTGATTGACCAGCTCAAAGTAATGCTAGTTCAAGTAATTTTTGCAGCAGATCTTTACAATAGATCAACTGGATTTTGTAACAGAAAATATTCTAATAAAATAAAATATAACATACTATTGTTTCTATATATATATATATATA